AAGCCAGGCACCTAGGATTCCCAGGCAGGCTCACTTGACCTCTGTGTCTTCTACCAGGTCATCTCAAATAGGGGTACACAATTAGGTGGTGCACAGCCAGGAAACCGGCCACAGTCTTCCCTAAGAGTCAGGTCAATTGTTACTTTATGTAGAGCAAACAGGAACTAGAAGACAAACTCATCTGCTCCTCCCCCAGCCACCCCCAGTTAAATAGAAATTAAAGAAACCTAACAAGGAGAGAGCTCAGGGGCAGCGGGCAGTGAAGGAAACAGCTTTCAGGCCTATGTTAGGCACAGGCAGGGGCCCATTCTTCCCTGCAAGGGCGCAAGCAGCACCGACTTGAATATGGTGATTAGACTACCCGACCGGGTCTGCGTGTTCCAGGTGTCACTCCCTGTACCAGCTTCCAAAGGCTTTGTCCTCCCGGCCCTGCAGTCAGCAGGCACTGCCTCCGGGTCCCTCCCTGCAGATGGATGCGCGCGTGAGGGATGCGCTGCGGTCTCCCTGGGCGGCGGTCTGCTCCAGAACCCACGCCTGGGTCCCGCGCGAGAGAAGAGGCGTTGAACCCCCTCCTCGTGGCTCCCGGGCCAAGAAGACTGGGTGACAGACACAAGGCGACTGTGGCTGCGGGTCTGCTGGCATATGTGTGTGAAGGTGGGATTGGTGGGCATATCAAAGGGGAAGTAATGACCCAAACGCCAGGGACTGGCACTGATTGCGATGAAAATGTGGGTCTCCTGCCAAAAACAACGAAATAAAAAGGAAAAAATAAAATAAAATAAAAAAAGCAACCCCAGGAAAAAAAAGTAAGCCGAATACTCTCCACAAACACGAATACTAAAGATAAAAACAAACATAGAAATCTCTAAATGCAGTCTTCTGCAGGCTCCGTGTAAACATTTCAACCCACCTAGGCGGCTCGGTCTGGGTTACCTGATTTACGAACAGACTCAGCTAAGACTAAGGTCCTGCGGGCCGCAGAGGCGCCAGAATCGGGACTCGCAGCGCAGCACTCATTGCAGTGCGTGCTGGCCCTCGTCTTCGCTGCCAACACACGCTCTACAGCGCTAGGCCTGTTGCGGCGCCTAGGCTGCCTAGGCCCGGCGGCCGACTGACATCCAAGTGGAAGTCGAGCGGACGCGGGGCAGCGCTGAGCGCAGACCCCGCTGCTGGCGTGGGCGTCCCTCCCCGCGGTCTGCTCCCAGCCAGAGCCCTGAAACACAGCCTGGGGCTTTCAGAGTCTTCCGTGGAAAGCAGGCCCGGCCGGGTGCACCCCATTGTGTTGTGTGTACCCGTTCTGGAACGCAGGTTCCAGCTGCCTGCCCATTCTCCCAGGGGTCAGACCCTCCTGGAACAATCCCCCTTCCTTCCCACACACCCCAAGTCAGAGACCCAACCTTGCCGTACACCCCTCCCCTTTTGCTTCCAGCCACCCCGTTTCCGCTGGTGGATGCCACGAATCCGTCACTCCTCAGAGAGATCCTGCAAAAGGTGCATCATGAATGGAATTTCACCTGCAGAGGTGGCGTCCAGCCCAGAGGGGCAGCTTGGGTGAGCAGAGGCCTGCACCCCGCATTGTCCGTAAAAGTAGTGACGAGCATTACGGATCTATCAAGGTCGGCTGTTGAATTCCGGTCAGGATTAATTTAGGAAGCATACAGAAGCGTCTGAAGGCGCATATGCGAGTGTGGATTGTGAGGTTGCAGGGAATTTGGGGTCAGAGCTGTCCATGTCTTCTGCCTGCCAGTAACCCAGCTTCACCAAAAAGGCCGCTGCACTTCGAGGTTAGAGCCACCGCTTGGAGGGCGGATTCTTTCCTGTAGCTCCAGCCGAGGTTGTCCTGCCCCTTCCAAACATAAAACAAAAGGATCCTCCCACCCCTAGCCCTCACGAGCTAGGGGGCCTCGCACAGGGAATGTGGGGGAGCCTAGGAGGCTGTGCAGCCTGGGGTGGAAGCCTCACTGTGCCAGAGGTGTGGTGCAGGGGGTGCTTGTTGTGCAGCCCTGCCTGTTATCTTGGTGGCCCGGCTTGTGCTGGTGTGTAAGAAGCAGCCTCCATTTTGAGGCAGGGTGTGCAGCACAGTGGCCAAGCATCCCCTAAAGGAACGGGTGAGGACCTCAGTCACTGCTCTGCAAGGTGGAGCCGATCAGTCTCCACCAGTTGGCTCTGGAGTCATAGGCTGCTTCTCTCCCAAGGGTCTAGGGCGAGGAGACCTGGGAAATCAGGATGAGGGTGGGGCGGAGAGTGGGGTTGGAAGTGGACGGGCAGTAAGTTGGGAGAGGCCTCTGACAACTGACACCCACTGCTTTATCCACTAGAAATGATTTGTGGGTCACCTCAGAGCCACCCCTTCCTTCCTTCAACAAATATGTATGGAGATCCTGCCGGGTGTTGTCAGTTTTGCAGGGTCTTTGGATCCTTAGTGCACTCTTTAGGATGAGCGCTATGGGTCCCTTTTCTACCGAGGAGGAGATAGAGACAGAGACAAAGGAACTGATTCAGGCTCAGAGGGCTGTAGTCCCTGTATTCTAAACCAGTTTTGCTTAGTTCTGCTCTCTAAGCTCCTCTACTTCCCAGTGCCTTAGGATTCCCCCAATAGACCTGAGGCCTGGTGTGGGCCTTCAAAGGGGAGTGCAGAACCAAACGGAGGCTGAAAAGACCCTGAAGGAACGGGGCTTTGATTAGCAGAGCTTTACCCCAACCGCAACCGGGGACGGGGTGAAATATCTCTCTCCCACCTTTTAATGGTGTCCTCCAAAAAGGAGGATTTAAGAGACCACCTTTTCAGAAGTCAAGGGCAAAATGTGATTAGGGTCTATGGCAGGAATATTCATTCTGGGCCCAAAGCACTTCGGATTCCCCTTTGCCAGTGTCAGGCCTGTTCCATTTACCAAAGCCTCTATCCTGAGCCATGGTGGGGCTGCTTGTGACTGACACAGGTGACCCTGACTAGGAGGGATTAGTGGTAAATGACGTCCTGGGCATTTCAGGCCTGTAATAACCTCCTTGTCATTAAATGGAGCTGGGCAGAGGGATTTATGAGGGTTCCATTTGCCTTTTATTTTTATCAGGTGTGTGAATAGATCCTCTGTGCTTTATATTTAATATTTCCATTATATTTTACAAATGGAACTGCCTTGCTATGTATACATAAATTTATAAAAATATATGCCCTGAGGGATGCATGCAGCCACCCTTTGTGTAGGCAGAATCCATCTCTGCCTGGCTTGGTGGGGTTACACCTTACAGGATGGAGGCTCGCTTTTCACTCTTACTTTCTAAGAGTCTGCACCTAGCGGCTATTTTATCGACATCTGTACAAGAAATTATTTGTTCTATACACAAGGTTAATAGTGTGGAGAGTGTGGTAGGTGGACCCAGAACTTACAAGTCCTTGGCAGAAGGACTGTGTATCACAGGTAGGGACTTGAGCTCTTTCCCTTGGAGTGTGTGGGCTTGGAGGACTTATTTCTCAACCTCTGGATGCACTACAGATTCCCTTAATGAAACCAAACCAGCTGTTTACACCTTGCATTCTGGACATCACATAGCCTATAGAATGGAATGTAATTTAATTGCAGGAGCCCAACAGGTCCCGGCACCTGCTGGAATATTCTATGGTGTAACTACCTTGACTGTCCCCTGTCCCCTGGCTGGGCGTGGGCCCCCAGTTACCTAGTGGTCACAAAGTGGTACCAGAAATCTTTCCTAAAGCCAAGGCCTCTCTCTCTCTCTCTCTCTCTCTCTCTCTCTCTCTCTCTCTCTGATAGGCAGTTATTCCTGGACTTTCTGTTGGGTTGCCTCCCCACTGGACCCCAGCCCTGTCTCCCCCTCCCAGAACCACTCACACTCTGCAGCTGCAGGGAGACTGTTACCTGCCAGGGTATTCCAGAGCTCAGTTTAGATAAACTCGTCCATACCCCAGGCAGAGCAGAGGAACTCAGCAGCCCTGGCAGGCTGCCTGCAGAGGGCTGGGGCTTCCCCGAAGAGTGCATGGGAAGAAGAGGCTGGGAAGACGCATGTTGAGGGGGCTGAGAGAGCCAAAGAAGGAGCCCAGGCGAGCCCAGATGTTACCCGGGGACGCGGGGATGGCTGGGGGCAACAGACTTCAGGCTCTGGTCGCGGCCTGGCCACGGGCTGGGGGCAAGACCCAGGAGACTCCTCTCTCCTCCCATCTCCTCCTTGGGCGAGGCCCAGTTTGAGAGAAAGCAGAGCCCACAGCTTCGCTAGAGACTGGCGGTGGGGGCCTGGAGCTGCGCCTCCCCGGGCGGGCGTAGCAGAAAGAGTGCTGGAAGGAGAGTTCGGCACAGAGAACGGACCGGGAAAGCAGAGGGGAGGGCCAGGGGCAAGGGAGAAAGGACGGGAAGGGCCAGGCCAAGAGAAAGCGGCGCCCAGAGCCAGCTGGGCCCAGGCGCCGCGAGGAAGTGGGAACCGGAACAGAAGCTCGGGCAGGCGAGCGCCCAGCCTCCCTGCGGAGCCCTCTCCCGCCAGCAACCGGTGCCGGTCCCGGTCGCGGCCGACGCGAAACCAGGTTGGGCAGCGGTCGAGGGATCGCTCGGGCCGCTGAGAGGGGCCCTGGTCTTTTTCTCCTGCGGTTACCCGCTCCGGTCCCTCCAGGTCCCGTCTGCCCCGGGCGCGCCGCGCTTTTCTCCGCACCTGCCCTGGGGGGACACGGGGTAAGGACAGAGCTGTCCGCATTTTCCCTGACCCGCTCTGTCCCCACCACAGTCACCAGCCCGGGCGGCCCAGGGAGAGGTGCCGGGCCGACAGGGTGAAAACCGTAAGGCCAAGAAACGGGGACTTCTTCCATTCGCTGCTTTGTCCCCCGCCTCAGCTCAGTGTCCAGCACACAATAGACTCCAATAATATTTGCTGAGCGAACGGCCGAATGATGAATGAATGAATAAATGAACTGGGAGGTGAGGCTACAAAAAGGTCTGAGGCCCGGGTGGAGGCAGGGTGGGTGCCCGGGGGGCCAGAGCCGCGCGCTGTCCTCTTACCTCGCACCAGGATGCGGCGGCAGTGGTCCGCCTCGCCGGGCCCGGGCTGCCCGTCGCTGTCGGCGCTGCTCTCTCTGGAGCCGGCGGGGCTGGAAGCCGAGGTCCCCGCAATCTCCCTTGGCCTTCGGCCACTTCCATCAGCTCGCAAGTCCTCCGCCCCACCGAGGTCCCCGTTGCGCCCACGGCCGCCACCAGACTCTGCCCGGCGCGCGGGGCCGAGGTCTCGCTCAGCGACCCCATCGCCCATGCCGGCCGCCACTGCAGCCTGCG